GGTTGGACTCGATGATCTTTGAGGTTGATCCAGCCCAGCTGATTCTGTAATTCTGTTGAGACCCTTTCTTACTTGGATATACAAAGACGAAAAAGACAAGGGAGTGTACAGTTTGATGGTGTTCAAGAGAAAACATTATCATTGCTTCCTGGTTGAGTTACACCTTCTCCTTTTACCTTTACATCCACCCCCGGGATATAAAACACTGTTGTTTCCACATCACTAGATTTGGTCTGTAGAGATGATGGCACTTTCTTGCCAGCAAGTAAATGAGTAGTAGATGCATAATTAGTTTGAAATTTCTTCTTTTTGGAAGGAGACTCCTGATCCAAACTTCTGGAACTCCGATCATAGCTCCTAAAATAAATATACTCATGTTATCAAAGCAATTCCCCATGCCATGCTCAGCCAGAACAACTGCAACTTATGGTGCTGCTATGAAGCAGTGATAATTACTACAAGTGATGGCAACAAACTAATACATTTATCTATGATTTTCAAACAGGTCAGCAGTTAAGAGTCATTGATTATTGTGCATGTGGCCATAACTTAAGTGATGGAAATATAAGAGGGACTTAACAGCTGAAGCAGAACCAAGTGCTCATACTCTGATCTTAAGAAGGCAACTAACATTTCTTACCTTCGTAAACTAATGTCATCATGTTCTTGCTGGAGCATTGTAGGGTGCAGGACACATTTTCCACAATCAATTTCAACCCTGATATCAAGTTCAAAGTCAATGTTTCTCTCCGTGGTTGTGCCAGTCATACTTCTGTTGGCAGGTGTGGTTGGCCAGCGCTCGGTGAACAGCTGGTGCACAGCAGCGAAGCCTGTTGCCTTCTTGCGAGAGGTGCTCCTGCACAGGCACAGATGGGGATTAGACACCAGCACAACATCCACCTGCACAGGTGGTAGGAGGCATTCTTAAACTATGTCCACACTCAGTACTTAACTTTGTAAGAATTTCTTTAGGAGAAGGCCTCTGATACAAAGCAACACAGAGATCCATCTTCCATTAACACATAATTAAGTATTACTTCTTAGGACAGGGTAGTACAAAGAGCTAAGTCTTTCTTAAATTCTCCATCAAGAAAAGGAATGAGAAGATATATATGGTATTTTTTCACATTTTGAAACAGTCACATTATTATATGCATGTTGTGGAGGGATAATCATTGGATAAAACTGAAAGTTATGCTGTATTTGACTAATGTGTCATTGGTCCCATTACAACTTCTCCTGTGCCTCAAAAGACTCACTTTGCAAGTTCCTCTGTTCTGTTCAATCCCTGAAATTTCAGATCAAAATTCCTCCTTCCCTCACAGACACCTCTGCTCAACACAAACTCCCTTGCCTCCCACATCCACACTTGAGGCAAAATACAATCCTTCATCAGGAACAGATTTTATTGCTTTAAAGTCAGCATTTCAAGTGCCTTGTCTTAATCTCTGTGTTTTTCCTCAGGAACTGTTACTTACGGTGGTTTCCTATAAAAATATGGTCTCTCTCTTTCATGGTCATCCTCCTTCTCAGAGTCCTCACTGCTGGATGATAAGCTGTCATCCCGGCGTCCTTCTTCAGGCTGGAAGGGAATGCCGGGTGAGAAGACTACTGGAGTTTTGGGTGAACCAAATACCGAGCATGAGCCTTCACTAGTAGATGAGTAATGGGAGGGACCATCAATAGTTACAGACAAAAGGTCCATTTCTGTCTCCTCTGGAAACTGATTATAGAAAGACAAAAACATAGTAAATTTCCACAGATATGATGTCCATTGAGAATGCATTAGATAGCTTTGGAAATAAAGAAGCAAGAGTGCTATGAGAAACTCTCACTCCCAAGCTCCTCATAATACAGAGACAGCAGGTTCAGGAATTGCAAGAAAAGTAAGAAGTGAAAGGTTGGTGGGGAGATGTTTGCCATTGCTGAGGGATTGAGCTCAGTCTGGTAGCGAAAGACGTGTCATGCTCTTACCAATTTACATCACCAGAAGAATGGAAACATTTCATTTAAATTTAAAAAATACTTTGAAAGAAAAGAGGAAAAGATGGTCAAAATCATCATGACCCTTGTGGAGGGGTGATGTACCCCAGTGTTAGTGAGGCAGGCGTGCAGGATGCTACTCAGAATGTACAGCACTGTCTGGTTCTGGGCTGCACTCTCAGGCACATGGGCATAACTTCAGGCCACATTTCCAAAAGCAGCCTCCTGTTTCTCACAGAGAGCATGCCACAAGCAATTTGCCAACATTTAAGTATTTAAAATGCCTGTGAAGAGTATCTAGAAGTGTTAGTTTAACACCAGCACTACCTACACAATGTGACCATAGAGCTACACAATCCTTGTCTGCAAATATTCTCTGCTCAAGAACTGACACTATAATGCCAGAAAGATGTATCATTTTTATATTCCACATCTGATACCTCTAAGTGTTTGATAGGATTTTGTTATGCCAACAAAACCTAAGTTAACTGGACTTACACATGACAACAGGTAGGACAGATTTAAATGTGAACCTATTTCAATGTGCAAAACACATTTATAGGTTTCATTTCCACCTCTCTCTCATAAACAGGAATTTATTTCTTGGGAGCATGAGGTGAGTTAGAAGATGGAAAACAGCACATTACTGTCTCTTGAATTTGTTTTTTTGTCTGGGGTCTTTTTGGTTGTTTATTTTGCTTTACTTTTGTTGGTTTGTTTGGTTTTTTGGGCTTGCTTGGTTATTGCTTTAAGAAAAATATCTGCGTATTTTCCCTAAACACATTTTTGAATGCAGCTAACAAACTCCACCATTTGTTCTCCGGGTATTACACTTTGGCACATGCCCTACTTGCTATTGTTTGGCAATACTCTGCATTAAGTACAGGAATTTCAACAGGAGTAAGTGTGAGAAGGTGTCCTCCCACCTAGTTATCCTTCTGCACTGGTGGAGATCGCTGCTAACTCAGAGCACAGGGTAACAGATGAAGGCACACACTAAAATCCTCTTCTCAATCACATTTCAAGGCTAGACTGAGGTCACTTCACCTCAGCCTTGATCAATCTTCAAACAAAATCCCAATAATCCATTTTACAATGAATTTTAGGTCTACTTAAGGGTGTAGAAGCACTTTGACTCTTGTTCATTAACTTTACATATTCAAATGTCAGTATTTTCAGATTTGATATACATTCTGTTTAGCTGAGTGAAAAAGAGATGAAACACTGAAAAGCAGCTCCCTGGGAGATAAATTAGTTCTCTGGCAAAGAAAATTTGTGTCTGCTGAGAAATACCTGAAAATACCCTTCCCCTGGACAGTTGGGTTGTTGTGCAATCCCCAGAGCTATATTATTCAACTTCATTAGAAATGAAAAAAAAAATCTATTAAAACAATTACAATCATCTCAAGCATGCAAAATCAACATTTGAAAAATGAGAAAACAGCAACAAAATAAAAAGAAAAAAACCCCCACAAAATGGTTCAACAATCCATTGCAAACACTCACAGAAGAGTATACTCATATACTCAGAGGATATACCTGTAGGGCTACAGCAAAGTGCCTGATATCTGTTTCCAAAACTCTAAATATGTTCAAGCACAAAAACACTAGATGAATTTTGCACCCTTCTCATAACAATTCCAAAACATTTGCATTACTCCTGTGTCAGCCTAAAAAAATTAAATCAAACCATTCTAAAGTATTTTCGCTCATAATTCAATTAACTTCTGTGTGAAGAAACTAAAACACATCTGTCTTCTAACACAACAGATCTGTCTTCCAAAAACACATCTGGAATTTGAGGCACACACTAACAGAAACACACACCAAACCAACTCAGATTTACCTAGGTATACCTATCTCATGAGCTTGTGACCAAATGGGACAGAAAACACAGTTAAATGGCACAGAAAGCCATTCTTACAGAATCTTGTATGTTGAAGGTTACTCTTGGCCCAGGAGATGCAGCATCTACACGGATGTCTGGGAGGTCTTCACTGTCACCTAGTCGAGAACTGCAAGCAAAACCAAACCAAAACAGCCCATTGGGTTTTACTGCAGGATTTGAGGGTCATGCAAACACATAACTACATAAATATAAGGTAATACTTAAAATTTTGTTATGGAAGAAAGTATAAAATCATAATTGAAGCACTTCACAAGACGTCCAAACAATCCTAACACTCCTCTCTACCTTTTAAATTTTCAAATCTTTTATATTTAATACTTAATAGTGCAGCACATTTTTAATTCCAAACTTTGATTGTGTCAGCTGGATCTACAGGAGCAATAGACTCAGACACATGTATTCCAAAGGCAAAGCAAGCACTTCAGTAGGAAGCATCACTGTACAACTGCAGTTTGCTCAGCAGCCATTCAATGATGAAACAAAACCAACACATGCTATGCAGGTGAAGACAAAGTGAAAATTATCATTCACACACACAATAAGCATCTCTTATTCCAACAGCCCATTTAAAAATGTAGAAAGTGCATTACACTATGCCATTTTTCCTTATATATATTTTTCAGTATGTCCTGAAAGCAGGATTCGGTACAAAACTTTAAGCTGTTGTAGAAGTGGAAACTCCTCATCTGACATACTAGTAAGACTGAGAAAAACTAAGTTTCAAGAAAAGGTGCAAAGTTGCTTTTTAGAACATGCCAGTCTTCCAAAATGACCTCCTCCTATGCAGTTCCACCACACAGAGCTGCTGCCTATACTAAAAGGACTCTTATGGCCACAGTCAAGTGTTTCCTCTGTTCCACATGCTGCTGTGGCTATCACAGATCCCAAATTCCCATGATCTCACCTGGTTCTGTCCATTCTCTTCAGAGGTGGCCTTCCTGATGCAGAAATGCTCTTGGATCGGCTGTAGCTCGGTTTGTAGCTGAGACCCCATTTGTCCTTCAAGGAGGCAGCCTAAACCAGAAATAATCTTTAAATGCAGCAACTGAGAACACAGAGAAAAACTCCAGCAAGCCAAAATAATATTTGACACAGGTAAAGTCAAAAAGGTTTTATGTTCTGTAACAGCTAAAATGGATTCACCAGCCCAGGAAGGGAGAAAAACCTTTGCCCATCCCTCCTTAAGGTAAAGGTGGTGCTGAACTATTTGATATTCTTAACCTTCTTTTTCATTACTAACAGTTTTCTCTGCTTTAGTCTCATGCAGAAAAGAAATAGGCAACACAAGTGCTCCAAGAGTTTTAAACTAACTCAATCCTCCTCACCCTCATGCTGGATCTCCGTAGCTTTTTCCGAACGTCCCGGCGGATGTCGTTCACAGCCACCGACTCCAGCTGCTGGTAGCGCTGGATTTCTTGATTGATAGTCCCTTCACTTGCACCTAATTTTCTGGAGATAAATCACAGCTGAGTTATCTTACAAATGGGCATCATTTTCACCATTTCAAAATCTGTGTTGGAATAATGCTTTCCCTTAGTTATTGAACACATCATTACCAAGCTCTCTGTTCCCATCCCAGGCAGATCCATTTATAGTAAGCCTGTCTTGGGAAGAAGGGAGAAAAAACCCAACAATAACAAGTCCAACAAACCATGTCTGCAAAAAAACCCAATTAATAAAATTCACAGAAGTCAAGATGAAATTGGTGAAATCTGAAGTAATTTTTTCTTCAGGGTTTTCTCAAGTATAACATAGGAGATTTAACTTGAAAATATCACATGCAAGATGCAAAAAAAGTCAATTTAAATATTTTTCTTTTTTAGCTTATTACAGTTTCAAAGTAATGTATTTTGTTGGAGTAATCACCATGATAATAAATCAAGATGGAACTATGATTTTGAATCAATAGGGAAAGGATTGTAATCAGCCATTATAATGCAGAACCAGAAAGAATATAGACTAATCTGACACATGGGGAAGAACTTAAGAAATTTCAGAGTATATAAACATATAGTTTCTTCTTATGGAATCCAAAAGGACAATTTTTGTTTCCAAGTAAAGGCCACAACTGTCACTTAACCATCACAATGCTACAAGATGTGGTAAGAACAGAAAAAAGTCAGCTGCAGTTGTTAGCCCCAAACTCTGTGAGAGTTAAAGCAAACCCAACTTACTTTAAGTCATCAATAACTTTAGCTTGTTCATTGAGCTCCCTAATATCAACCAAACGTTTCACAAATTTTCTTCCTCGCTGCTCTCCAATTTGGATGCTGGAAGCTCCCTGACGCCGGTGATCCACAACCTCCTGTTTAAAATGAAGGTTTCATTAATGTCCTCATAAAAAACTGGACACTGGTGTGATTTAACAACAGGCAAAGTGAATTTCACACCTTCAAATTTGGACCAGTGCATGCAAAAGAATCAGTGTCATCTCACAAGGCAGATGATTGGATTTTTTCCAGTGATCCAAACCCCATCATTCAGTTAGACACACTGTAACTACTACATACATGTCCCCATGAGCAGGATCTGCCTGCTTTCATATGTGATCTGCTAGACTGGAGAAAATCCTGCTGCGCTGACCCCAAAAGATACTCCACAGGAACAGAGTGCCGGTGGGTTGGGGGGCTCAAACCCAGCAGGTGATTTACAATCCGCTGCCCAAATGTTAGCTTGCGTGCATCTCCACACAATGAGCCTCCACCTGATTTCTGAACAACAAACAGGAACATTAGTGCTGGGGATAACACCTTCACTGCTGGCAGGCAAGAGACATCTAAGAGAGCCATTAGGGAACAGCTGTTAAAATGTTTTTATGTGAAACCAGAAAGCAAAGTCAGCAGCATATTGGGTAGAAGTACCAGAACACAAATGTTTCTAACTTGCTCATGTTAGTAACTTACTCTTCTGTTAGGAAAAACCTATGTACAGCCACAGCTTTTCCAATTCAGGTACCTGAAGTTAGGTACTGTGTCTCCATACTTTCAAATCCAGATTGATATTTCCACATACCACCAGGAGAAATATGATCTGTGATTTCTTGCCTTTGAAATATGGAGTTGGAAAACACACACACAAATGTTTTTGATACGCAAAAATATGTAGATGAGCTATAAGGAGTAGCATGCTGGACTCAAGTCAAGACTAAGATCTTTCTATTTAACTCAAGACTTTGTGACACCTTTTCCAATTAGGAGCATTTATTCTGATTGATTCACTTACAGCATGTATTGTGGGAGACATAGTGTCAACTTCATCCTCATCTGAAAGGTCAGCTATGTTTACAGAGTTGAGGTCTGCGATATCATCAATATCTTCTTCTCCTGTCAGTGTTGTGAGGGTGTTGCCTAAGGCATTCAGTCTCTTCCCAATGTTGGGATCCATGTGGACATCAATACCACACATCTTCCACAGCACATTCAGTGTCCAGGTTCCAGCACTGCTACTTTCTGCGTTTAAAAATAGGTTAAACCAGTTGTAACTCTTTCTAAAAAAAACTCTCCCAAACTGAATTACGTATTAATTAGCTAAGACAGTGCTGATCAGTCACAAAGAACTATCTTTTCTGCCCATTCTGAGAAAAACATATTCCACCACTGAAACACTTGCTGGGAATACTTCACACCCACCAAGTTAGTATTTCTTCAACAAGTGATATACACAGGTAAAACTAAGGAAAAAACATTTCCTTCAGCCAAGTTGATGACCAGGCGAGTCACTTCAGCTCTTAAAAGTGCACCCAAGTATACTATTCCAAAACAGAACTTCTAACACCAAGAAACATAAAAGATGTCTTTCTGCATGTACAAATGTTGACCCATTTATTCATGTCTTGAATAATGATGCTGGAAGATTTTATATGTGTAATGTGCTTGCTGAATATCCTGTCTTCCCAGGAGTTTTCTAATGAGTGCCACCTTCCAGCAGCAAAACACAGAACTTGCTTGAAGCAAAGCTACGCCAGATACTGGTTTTCATTCTAAATGGGTTCAGCTTGGTTTTCTCATCATTGACAATTCCATGAGGTAATTTTTTAATAGTTGGAACATGTTTCTTTTCTTTTTTTCTCCTCAGTAGAAAAAAGCAAGTGGGGGACAAGGAAGGAGCAAAACAACAGGGACAGGAGACACCACAGGTACAAAGAAATGAAGAAGCAAGCAGCAGGTGTGATGATCAATACAGAGACTGACAGCTACTTTGAGGTCTTTGGAGAATGTCCAAACTACTCAGATGGGAAGACAGGGAGTCTGGGAAGAACATAAGCTGTGTCTGGGAGAGGTGAGGGAGAATGGAAGCTCAGGTTGAGGTTGCAAAGTCTCAGCATTAGAAGGACTGGAAGATTTAGAAGTCTCTAGGAAACAACAGGACATCACTGTTGTTGCAACTATTGCTGACTCTTCTCCAACTAAGGCACAAATACATCTGCACTCTGTTTTCCTGCAGGTAAAAACCTAAAACCAGTGTTGCTGATGTGACTCAAAACCTAGAACAGCTTGCAGAGGCGGAACAGATAAAACATCGAGGATTTTATGAGGAAAACAAAATACTAAACAAGAAAAAAAAAAAAACCCAAACCAGCAATTAAATTAAAACACAGTTAAAGGATTGAAATGTCATGGTGTTTGAATGCTTTATTTGTGTAGGACTTGATTCATTAAGCAAAGCATATTACCTGCTGCAGCTTGTCCCGTTGTCCTAGAACACACTTCATAGGTACCATCTGGCACAACACCTATATGAGGCACAGGAAAAACACACAGGCTGATCAGGCAGGCAGTAAATTTGCTTTAGACTAGACCTTCCAAATCCCACATCAGTCTCTTGCCCTCCATAATAAAATCATGATTGGTGTTGGATAGGATATCTAGTTTTAATTCCCACTGAATGACTTTGCTTATTTAGTAAAGTGAATCTACTTGGTAACATCCAAGTTTGTATCAACTTAAAATGCCACAAAAATTCTAGAATTGTCACCATAGTACATGAAAATAATCTACATTAAACTACTAAAAACTTAGTGGGATCTTATGAAATTATATAAAAGCATCACATCCAACTCTTTCAATAGCTCCCAGACAGACATAAAGTAACAAAGTTTATTAATAAAGGAACATAACTAAGGAATATAAACCTTTCAGATCCATATTGTTTCCTTTCAAAAAGACAAAATCTTTCATTTAAGTTTTTTTGGGAAAGTTCAGCAGCTTTTTAAGTTACAGGCAAGGGTAAAAGTGGACTTTGATCTGAAATATGAAATCACACCCACTTACATGCATTCATGACTAAATCTCCTCTTATTTCTGGTTTCCAGTCATCCCAACTTGTCTCAAAGCCATCAGCAAAGCGGATACAGAAGTTTTTGAAATGCCCTTTGCTGACCAAAGACTCTGAGGAGCAGGCAGTGATTAATGTGCTTTCGATGGTCAGGACTAAAGCAGAACCAGTGTCCAGATCTGCAGTGTGGTTAGACTGGAAAATAAAGTTACAGACAGAATTTACTGGTCACTGCAATATTAAAGTGATATGTCCATGCATTAAATGCTGTTTATCTTTCCAAAATGAGAAAACTCCTGCTCCTAACTCCTTGCATTTTTCCTTCTCTGCAGACAGTTTCAGAAGCATCACATCTGTCCACACAATGTCTTCCATTGTTGTTTCCTAAGTGCAACACCGACAATTATAAACATATTAGGGCACTGGGAGCCAAGCTCATCTGGAAAAGGAATGAAACGCCACGTTGGATTACGGTAATCAGGGCTATGATCCATGTGGCCTCCTAACTCCTTGCATTTTTCCTTCTCTGCAGACAGTTTCAGAAGCATCACATCTGTCCACACAATGTCTTCCATTGTTGTTTCCTAAGTGCAACACCGACAATTATAAACATATTAGGGCACTGGGAGCCAAGCTCATCTGGAAAAGGAATGAAACGCCACGTTGGATTACGGTAATCAGGGCTATGATCCATGTGGCCCCACGGCCACAGAACACAAGCCCAGGATCTATTCTTTTCTACAACGGTCATGCATGAGTTGACTGAGCAGTGACCAAACTAGCTTTAATTTTTATGTGATTTTTTGTGCTAATTTGAGACCTACAATTATGCACAGTCTTAAAAACACAGATTAATTGATTGTTTTCCAGCTCTATTTATGAAGACAATTACATTTACCTGCAAAAAACCCACACATTCCCTTTGATAAAACCAGACCTCTTTTGATCCAGTGTGAGTATTGCAAACATGCTAGTCTATAGAGCTTAAGACTCCATAAGCCAGAACATATTTTTCACAATTTGCTATAATTTGTAACACATAAGAGCATAAAATGCCATCTGCCTTGTCCACAGCTTCCAGACAGAACACACACAATCAAAATGTTATGTCATTAGGACTTCTAAGTTGTTGGCCTCATTGCACCTTCACATTTCAATGGATTATTACTATTTCCTTCTACATCATTAAAATGATTCATTCCTAGTCTGGAATTGTTTCCCATTGAGAATACTCCCAGCTCAACAATGCAGTGCACATTCCCTCACAGAACAAGCTGCACTAACACACTGCACAAACTGTATTCAAGTTAACTGCCCATTAAATAACACATCATCCTGTGTAGTGTATCAGACTTAGCCTGTTCTACAATGATAGACTTTTTGTCAACGACCATTTTTAACCCAGTCTAAGTTCCTAAATAAAACTGTTTGAAAAACATCTATATATTTCAAAGAGCTATTCACACTCTTTTTTCCTTGTTTTAATTAAACAGAGTCAGAACACCATGTTAAAGCCAACAGTTTTCAGAGTTTTTCTATCTATAATCACATGAAGAATAAAGGATTAATTGGAATTTGCATCAGAAGCTTTCAAGAAAATAGAGAATAATAGAATAGTTTGAGTTGGAATGGACCTTAAATACCATCTAGTTCCAAACCCCCTGCCATGGGCAGGGACACCTCCCACTAGACCAGGTTGCTCAGAGTTCCATCCAACCTGGCCTTGAACACTTGCAGGGATGGGGCATCTGCAGCTTCTCTGGGCAACCTGTGCCAGTGCCTCATCACCCTCACTATAAAGAATTTTTTCCTTATATCTGACTTAAATTTCTCCTCTTTCAGTTTGAACCCATTCTCCTTGTCCTATCACTACAGTTCCTAATGAAGAGTTCCTCTCCAGCTTCCCTGTAGTGCCTTCAGATACTGGACTGTTGCTATGAGGTCTCTATGCAACCTTCTGTTCCCTCAGGCTGAGAAAGTTGGGGCTATTTCACCTATCTTCCCTCTGACACATTTCCAAGGACTTTCCACAGTGCTGAGTTCGTATGTGGTATAAACAAGAATCCATTATATTTCCCAAAAACACACAAAACCTACTTCTTCTATAAATGAGATCACCATTTCTATTACAATGGCACTATTGCAACTTTCAGCATCCTATGACTTCTGTGTTGGTGTGGTGAAAAGTTACATTTATGGCCATAAAATCCATGTACCACATACAAATGGATATTGCAACAGACTTCTACCAGTCACGTTGTTTCAGACACTTTGCTTACCTGAGGTGTATTGGTGATGGGCAGGCAAATTCCTAAGTCATTGACAGTCAGCTGAAGGAAGAGGGTCCCAAAAGCCTGTGCAGAGGTTTGCTGGATTCCAGGCAGCATATCTACTACCTCTTTTGTGGCCATATGAATATCTTTATGTAAAGCCATTCTCTGTTCATTCCAGTTGTCATATGCAGCCTTGTAGTTCAGCCAAAACAGCACAGCTTTATGGGGAAACCAGAAATGCTTCAGTGAAATCAACACATACAAAACGTAATGCATATTCACTAAAGAAAGTTGGGGGGTTTTTTTCACTTTTACAGTTTCTCCATTACTTTAGGACAATGAGTGTGTAACAATGGACACACACACGTGTTCAGGATGCAGTGATGAGGCTGGTGCTGTAAAGGATATGATGGACAAATTTGATCATTTACCACAGAAGTTACCACATTAAAATACAGAAAGTTCTCAGCATTACTCACTTGTGAAAATTTACAAAAGCAACTTCCTACAAACCATCTGAAAACTAATCACCTCAGCAAATGGAGCTTTTGATGTTTGCAATTATCAACATGTTGGCATAGAGTAAGATCTAAATTTCTCAGCTACTTAACATTTTGACTTAACATGAAATACACTGAATCTTGAACAATCAGTCCTCTTGGGAAAAAAAACATAGCTTCCTCAGTATGAGGACAATTTTGTAGCAATTGTCACTTCAATACCTCTATCAAAGGCCACAGGCTGATATAGCTTCCTCAGTATGAGGACAAATTTGTAGCAATTGTCACTTTAATACCTCTATCAAAGGCCACAGGCTGAGCAAAAACAATCGGTCTGTTCAAAGTAATGAGCACAGCTTCTCTGTCTGAAGAGCCACTGATTTCTTCTCTGAGAGCATTTCTTAATCCAATTCTTGTCTTAAAATAGGCAACTTGATGAAAGTCCGAGCCAGCTTCTTCATAAACCTTAAAATGTTCAAAAAACAGGAGGAGGGAGAGAGGTTTGCAGCAGAGAGGAGTTCAGGGATGGGGAGGAAAATGATCAAATTACTGTGTTCAGCAAAATGTAAAATTCGAACAAGTTACACAATCACAGAATCAATTAGGCTGGAAAAGACCTCTGAGATCTTCAAGTCCAACCTATGACCTAACACCGCCATGTCCAGTCTTACCCTGAAGAGAAAAGACTTGCCTTTCCCCTTTTTCTCTTCTAGCCAAAGTCCCTTTGAGGATATTCAATATTCTTGCATTGAATTCTGAGTGCAGTTTATCATAAATGGTTAACTAAAATAACTATTTATATATCCAGATCCTCTATTGTGATAATACAACATTAATTTATAGGTTCCAAGATTTGTATCTGTTTGTTTCTAGGCATAACAAAACACTTCCGTATCATAGAACTAGTGATTCCAGGTAACAACAGCCTTAAGAATACAAGAGGTACAACTGTCAAACTAAGACAGACAAACTAGGTCAAAATTTAGGTCTAGCCAAGTTCAGATCTTCTCTGATCTTATTATTTCATTCAAGTACCCTAAAGATAATAGAAGTATCAACAAAAATTTTGAGTTTGACTGAGCAGAAAGGCTATTGCTATTGTAAAGGGCTAATAAATTCTAAGATATTAATAGCATGGGGACAGAAATCACCAAAACAACACCCCTATACTTGGCTCCTTCCATCTTTTATGCACGTACATTGGCTTTCATAATGAAGACCTGCTAATTCTTCTGACAACTCATCTTCAGTCCCTTCATGTCTCTAGTGAGAAAATTTATTTTGAATGCCCTTTTAACAAACAGCGAGGGCATATTCAGGTGGTAAATCTCCACAACTATGTATGTGTGCTGCAGAATGTTTAAACTTCTATTAAAAACCCAAAAAACCAAAAACCAAACAGCTGGAAAAAAAATCAACCAACCAAAAATGATAAAACCCCCTCAAACACTAAAACCAACACCTTCCCCAGCCCCCTCCCCTTCATACCCACTGCACAGCCAGATCAGATAAAATCCAGCAGAGTAAAACAACCTCTTGGCTTGGTTATGTACATTTTTTCATCACACACTATTAAGCACATCACGTACAAAGATGTTGAGCACTAACCTGATGTTTAACAATCTGTCCTAGTGCCAGATTCAAATCCACCTGGCATTTCCCAAACAGTTTGAGGTAGCTGCTACTTCCAGGCATTGCTTTGGTTTGCAGTCTGTTTGAGAGTTCAAGCTCTATCAATCCAGTTTCAAATCTCACAGCACGCATTGAGGGAGTCGTAGCTGTCACTTGAATTCCCTAATGAATAAGGAAGGTACAAAGCTATTAGCATCTGGTTCAGAGGCATGAAAAGAAGGGAAGAAAACCCCACTAACATAACCAACAAAAAACCATTTACACTGTGCAGCAAAAAAGGAGGACATAATCATACGTAACAATTCCATGTAGCACTACAGGCTGGGGACAG